AAGCTACATTACTTGTTTTGGATGAGATGCCCATATATAAAGCGGATCACTTTTATGGTCTTTTTGGAGCATTTAATTCCAAATATATACAAGATATAGCACTGTACAAAAATAATATTCCTGTGACGTATGGTGGTAGGACATCAGGTATGTTACAACTTAAAAGTAAAGATTCTGTGGAACAGTTTAATGCTTGTCTAGACTTAAATTTATTGAACTCTGGCATTGCTATAAATGCTCCTATTGCCAAAGGTTTGGGTTTAAAATTTGCTGCAAGAAAGACGTACACAAATCTTGTTGAGTCAAAATTTTATGACTTGTCTATGCGGAATAATCTAGAATCCGATGAACCACGGACTACCAATAATAGTGTTGTATCGCATCCATCATTTGATTTTTATGATATGAATGGCAAACTATATTTTAACCACAAAAATCATCATTTGGATGTGAATTATTTCAGAAGTTCTGATCATTTTTCTGATAAATATGAATCGACTTTTAAAATCAAAAATCTTACCATTAACGAAGAATCTTTCAGTCAAGAGAATTTTTGGGATAATAAGACATTTGGACTAAATTATAAATATGAGAATAATGCTTTACTACTGACAACACATGTTTACAAGACTGGTTTTTCTAGTAGTTATGATATAGTCAGTAGGCTTTTTCAGCGCACCATGGCTGGAATCGAGAGAGATACTGTCTCCATTCAGAACTCAAACAACATCACAGACAAAGGATTGAAATTTACACTACAAAGCAAAAAGGTTGTTAATTGGATGGTGGGAATGGAGTACATAAATCATGATAATGTACTGTACATAGAAAATAATAGAAATGCTACTTTTGAAATAAATCAAATCGGAATAGAATCAGGTATTTTCTCTTCAGTGGACTTGGGTACTAAAGATAAGTTTTACGTAAAGCCTTCATTCAGGGTGACTTATTTGCATGCATTAGATAAAGCTTATTTTTTACCACAGATTTTTATGAGTTATCAAATAGGAAATCAGTGGATGCTAAAATCATCGGCAGGTAAACATGCACAATATGTAAGGCAATTCGAACACGAAAGTATCTTGGGGCAGAAACAATCGTTTTTTGCTCTAAGTAATGGAAAGAATGTACCCGTCGGAATTGGCACTAATTTTATGTTGGGCTTATCTAAGTTTTGGGATCGATTTTCATTAGATTTTGAGAGCTATTATCGTACTTTAGATGGGGCAATTATCCATGCTAGCCAAAGACCAGGATTGCGACAGTTTAATATGCAAGCGCCACCACAAAGCTTTAAATTGTTTCAAGGTGAAGGTAGAGTTTATGGTATGGATGTTTCGCTTTCATATGAAAAAAGAGCTTGGTTTAGTATGTTAAATTACACGCTTAGCAAGTCAGAAAATAGATTTAAAGAGATATTTAAAAATCAGTTTTTCCCATCATCTGAGGATAGTCGCCATCAGTTGAAATGGTTAAACAGCTACAGCTATAAGGATTTTAGTTTTTCGCTTCATTACATTACAGCTTCAGGTAGACCATATTTAGATCTATCAGTTTTAGGCAATAATATGGATAGAAATAACTTAGATATTAGTAAAAGCATACGTAATTTACCTGCATATCATCGTGTTGATATCGGATTGAATTATCAGTTTAAACTCTTCTCAAATGTAGCTAAAATTGGTTTTACAGTCTTTAATGTCATGAATAGAACCAATGTTAAATACAAACAATTTGTGTTCCAGTTGCCACCTACTCAAGGTTCAAATGCAAATCCAGTCAATACAATTTTGGGTTCTGATGTGTCTCAATTAGATAGGACATATAATATTAGCTTACAAATCAATTTTGGTAAAAAGTAGTGTGAAGATGTAAATGTTCCAGACAGGTTACTTAACACTCAAATCATAAGGTAAGAAAGTCATATTTAGAATTTCTTGTGAATACAACACTTAAAATTTGAAAATCAGCTTTTTTTACACTACAACCTAAAGTAAAATCTTTGATTATCAATGAATTAGTAACCTTTTTTTGCTGCTGTGTAAATCAAAGACTGTTCGTAGCTGACTCAACTTTCGACCTTTAATAATCAACTTTAAACTTCCTTCTAAATTAAATATCTATCTCCCCATCAAAAACTTTAGTGGCAGGTCCTGTTAACCAGATATTTTTAAAAGTATTTCCATCTTGCTCAAAACTTACGGATAGTTGTCCTCCTTTTGTTTGAATATTTACAAGGTTATTGTTGTCTTGTTTATCTAAGTACGTCGCGATGGCAGCAGCAGTGACTCCTGTGCCACACGAGAGCGTTTCGTCTTCCACACCACGCTCATAAGTAGCAACTTCTATGTTGTTTTCGTTTATTTTGACAAAGTTTACATTGATGCCTTCTTGTTTGTAGTCTTCACTATACCTGATTTCTGCACCTGATGTTTTGATGTTATCTGGAAGGTGGTCCAGCAGTTTTACATAATGTGGTGATCCAGTATTTAACACATAAGTTTGGTCTTGTTTAATAGTAATGTGTTGTACATCAGACATTTGAATACTAACTGAGTCTTTACCTAATATTTTTCCTGTGTGCAACCCATCAATGGCTTCGAAACTCGTTTCTTCACCACAAACACCTAGTGACCACGCAAAATGTACAATACATCTTCCACCATTTCCACACATGGTACTTTGGCGACCATCTGCATTAAAATATACCATTTTGAAATCATAAATTTCAGACGGTTCTAACAGTATGAGTCCATCTGCGCCGATTCCAAATCTCCTATCGCATAAAAAGGCTATTTGTTTTTGGTCATTATGGTCAATATACTTATGTGTACGTTGATCTATCATGACAAAATCATTTCCCGTACCTTGATATTTCTGGAAAGTAAGCAACATTAATTATCTTTTGATCTGAATACAACAAAGTCTCAAAGGTAAAGTTTGTCATCCTTTTACCAATTATTATTTATATGTGGAGTCAAAAATAAATTGTTAGAGAAAAGCAAAAGTGAATCTTAAAATGCAAATGTCTCAAAAAATACTATATATTTGCATTATATTTTATTATTCTTTAATATATAAAGTGAATAAAAATCTGAAATACTTTCTTTATGGCTGTTGTTTTTCGGTGTTGATTTCCTTAGGATTTATCACCGTTTATCATTATTATATCAATCCATATAATCACTGGTACAATGATCAAGTCAATAAAGCTATCGGTGTGGCAGAAAGTGATATTCAATTTTCCGATCGCTTTCAGAATGCTTACCGATCTACTACGCCCACTGATTTTGTAGTTGCTGCCCGAGAAAGTTGTAAAGCAGTCGTCTTTATTAAATCTGACGCCAACCAGACAGATCAGAATAATACGGCTATGAATTCTGGTTCTGGTGTCATCATTAGCCAAGACGGATACATAGTGACCAATCATCATGTGGTGGCTGGTGCAAAAAATATAGAAGTTCTATTTAGCGATAATAGGGTCTTTGTGGCTAATCTTGTTGGTACTGACCCAAGTACTGATTTGGCTTTGCTAAAAGTAGAAGTGCAAAATATGGACTATCTTGTCTTTGGCAATTCTGATTCTCTCCAAATAGGAGAGTGGGTCATGGCTATAGGTAACCCTTTCAGACTTCAATCTACAGTAACTGCTGGTATAGTAAGCGCCAAAGCTAGAAATATTAATTTGCTAGAAAACCAAGGCATAGAATCATTTATTCAGACAGATGCTGCCATAAATCCCGGAAATAGTGGAGGAGCTCTGATTAATACAAGGGGAGATTTGGTTGGCATTTGTTCTGCTATCCTTAGTAATACAGGAAGATATGAAGGTTTTTCTTTTGCCATACCTGCCAATCTTACTAGAAAAGTCATTGCTGACCTTAAAGAATTTGGCGCCGTCCAACGTGGCTTTTTAGGAATTGAGATTGAAAATGTAGATAATGAAATGGCAAAACGTCTCGACCTTCCTGAAGTTTCTGGAGTATATTTGGCATCTGTATTTAAGAGCGGAAGTGCAGCAGATGCAAAACTGAGAAACGAAGACGTAGTGATAAGCATCAATGGTACAAAAACAAAGAACACTGCAGAATTTATGGAACAAGTAGCTGCTTATAGACCAAGTGATGTGATAGAAGTAATGTACGTTAGGGCAGGTGAAGTAATGTCTACAAAAGCAAAGCTAAAAAACCAAATAAACTCTACAGAGCTAGTAGCAGTGAGAGAAGATGGAATATTGAAGGAATTGGGATTTGAACTTCGTGATATGGACAGCTATGAAAAATCTGTATTTGCACCTAATGGTGTCGTTGTCGTCTCAGTAAAAATGGGAAGTATCATTGGGAATACCAAAATGGAACCTGGTTATGTCATCACTAGGGTAAATGATAAGGAAGTGACATCTGTAACTGCTTTGATAGAATATTTAGAGTCACAAAGTAATAAAGAGATTCTATTTGAAGGAATTTATAAAAAATATCCTGGCGCTTATCCTTACAAGTTTGTGATGCCTTAGTTTGTAGTTCGTAGTTTTGAGTTCGGAGTTCGTGGCTTAAAGTTTGGAGCAGGTGATATTCATTCAAAATCTTAATTATCTTTAACTTCTTAATGATTGGTGAAACTGAACTTGATTATTAACAGTTTTAAAAACATCTTCATTAATTATTAGTTTTTGTTTCATTAGCTTTCCCTTACCGAAGAAAGATTTGTATATTTACCCTTCAGAAGTAGTCACAGTTATGAGCAAAATAGATTTAGAATTTAATAAAAACGAAGATACACATCAACTTACCATTGCAAATTTCCTGCATAAATTGGATAAAATATATTTAGGTGGTGGTAAAGATCGTATTGAAAAACTACACCAAGAAGGCAAGATGTCTGCTCGAGAAAGAATAGATTACTTGATAGATAAAGACAGTTCATTTTTTGAAGTTGGAGCGTTTGCAGGTTACGACATGTACAAAGAACATGGAGGTTGCCCTGCTGGAGGTGTCGTAACAGGTTTGGGCAAAGTGGCTGGTCGTATGGTTATGATCGTAGCCAATGATGCCACTGTAAAAGCTGGTGCATGGTTTCCTATCACAGGAAAAAAGAACCTGAGAGCGCAAGAAATAGCGATGGAAAACCATATCCCAATCATTTATTTGGTAGATAGCGCAGGCGTTTACCTGCCTATGCAAGACGAGATTTTTCCCGATAAGGAACATTTCGGACGTATGTTTAGAAACAATGCCAAGATGTCTTCCATGGGTATTCCACAGATATCGGCCATTATGGGTAGCTGTGTGGCTGGTGGTGCTTATTTGCCCATTATGTCTGATGAAGCATTGATCGTAGAAGGTACAGGCTCCATATTTTTGGCAGGTCCATATCTTGTGAAAGCAGCTATCGGCGAAGATGTAGACCAAGAAACGTTAGGCGGTGCTTCGACACATTGTGAAATATCGGGTGTTACAGATTACAAGATGCCTGACGACAAAACTTGTTTGGATACCATAAGAAATTTAATTTCAAAACAAGGCCATGGTCAGAAAGCAGGATTTGATAGGGTAACAGCTAAAGAACCAAAATTTGATAGCAATGAAATTCTAGGTCTATTTCCAGAAAACTCAACGAAACCTTATGACACCGTAGAGATACTGAAAAGATTGGTAGATGAGTCAGAATTGCTTCAATACAAAGAAGATTATGGCAAAACTATTATTTGTGCTTATGCTCGTATCGATGGATGGTCAGTAGGTATTGTAGCAAATCAAAGAATGGTCGTTAAAAACGCTGCTAAAGAAATGCAGTTTGGAGGAGTTATCTATTCTGATTCGGCAGATAAAGCTACTCGGTTTATCATGAATTGTAATCAAAAAAAGATTCCGCTTGTGTTTTTGCATGACGTGACAGGTTTTATGGTGGGAAAAAGATCAGAACATGGTGGTATCATAAAAGACGGTGCAAAAATGGTCAATGCAGTAGCCAATTCCACAGTACCAAAATTTACCGTAGTAATGGGCAATTCTTATGGTGCAGGCAATTATGCTATGTGTGGTAAGGCATATGACCCAAGGCTTATCGTTGCTTGGCCGACTGCTAAAATTGCAGTCATGGGTGGCACACAAGCAGCAAAAGTATTGACCCAAATACAAGTATCCACGCTCAAAAAACGTGGGCAAGCACCTGATCCTGCCGCAGAACAAGCATTATTTGAACAAACGAAAGCCAACTATGATGAGCAAACTTCAGCATATTATGCGGCTGCAAGATTGTGGGTAGATGCCATCATCGATCCAAGGAAAACAAGAGAATTTATATCAAAGGGAATCGAAATGGCAGATCACGGTGTGGTGGAGAAATTTAATCCTGGTGTTATTCAGACTTAATTTATTGATGTAAGTTGTAGGATTTTCCTAGCCAATATTACAGATAAGTTGTACTAATAGATGTTTAATTTGAAATAATTCCTGTATAAATCGCCAAAGGAAAAAATGGATTATTATTAAATTTTTCTGAACTATAATGCCAGTAGTCAATATCGACGGTGCCTGAAAAAGCTATGTTATGTTGACATTAAATCTCCGAATCTACTCAAATTGAATCTTTACCAAGACACATTTGTGAAATAGTAAAGAATAGTAGTATGATGTTTTTTATTATTTTTATATTATGAACTCTAGCGAATAATGATAAGAGTTGTAGCGACGAAGGAGATATTACTTCTTATTTAGTGTTCTCTTCTGTATTCCTTTGAGTTATACTTTGTTTAATTGAATCTATGAAGTTTTCGCCGAAATAGAATTCCAAATACCTATTTTGTGTTTCATAATAACAGTTTATAGAATCATATTTAATTTCACCCGTTATTAAAGGAATTTGCCGATAAGTTATTCCTAAGCGATTTAGTTTTGTTTTTAGAGAATCAAAAAAAAATTGGTTTGGTTCTTCTATTTTTAGATATTCAGTATAATTCATAATTCCTTCATGAAAATCTTTATATCCTTTATTTCCTCCTTGTACACAAGCTATGTCATCTTTATTTGCACATGACAAAAGAATAGTGCTAAGAAGAATTAGTTTGCTTATTTGAATTTTTATTTTCATACTATTTTGTGAAAATTATTTCGCCATTTTGTTCTCCGAATTTTGGGTATTCCGAATCAAAATTGATTGCATCAAAAAATGCTCTTGCAGATACAAAAGATAACACAGTTGGACTAGAGTCAACAGGAAATGTAGCTATTTTAAGAACTCTTACGAAAAAATGCATCGGATTCTTTTTAAGATTGTTTATCCTGTTTATTGAATAGTAAATTCCATACTCAATAGAATTCTTATATTCTCTAGAATTACTGATTTGGTCTATATTTGTCCCGAATTCTATTATCGTAACTTCGGATTGCTCTACTTCTAATTCAACTTCTCCAAAGAATCCATATCCTCCTATTTCTTTTTTTATTCTATGTTTTCCTTGTTTCATATTTTCATTTATGGAAGAGAACTTACTTATTACTATATCAAAGCTACAAAAGACCTTCAGTTTTTCCAAACTTTTTCAAAACAAATAATATATGAGTTACTTATTTTTTTTCTTTTACCATCTATAGCATATACATCAGTAATGGAGTCAGTGTATAATGGTCTGATAAGCTTAAAACATCGACGCGTTACTTTGTAATCAGTTAGCGTTTGTTTGCAACACTTTAGTGTTCTAAAGATTCACTTGGACGTTATTTAGTGATGCTTGAATGTTGGAAAGAAACATTTAAGCGTTGGTTAATTTGCTTTAAGTGTTGAAAAGAAACCTTTAAGCATTAGCTTGTAACACTTAGGTGTTGCAGAGAAATCTTTGCCTGTTCCTTTGTAATACTTAAAGGTTATCTTGTAACCTTTAAGCAAAACATCTTAATCCAGATGGATACATTATAAATTGATGTAAATATTTTCTGAATCCATGTGGATTCAGAAAATATTTATGTAGATTCAGAAAGTTTTTATGTGAATACCTAAAAGATCCATTTGGATGTTTAAAATATTCATTTAGATATTTAGTATTTTCATTTGAATTCCTAAAATATGTACTTGGATATTTAATAAATGAACGTCGATACATGATGTATTGACGTTCATTTATAATATTTTGATTCGAATAATGATTATTTTAAAAAAGAAAAAAAAGTAATATCTTTATCTTTTTTGCAATTATAAACGGTTAACATTGGCTAGTACAAATATAAGGCTTTATTTTGAAATAATGTTATAATTTGATAAGAATATGTTTAAAAATTTAAACATACTCTATGTTTTAATTTCTTTTTTTTAAAACCATAACTTGAAATTTACAAATCATCTAAATCAATCTTATGAAAAACATGGACCAAGACTTCAGAATAAGATCAAAACAAACCAACTAATCATTGTCAAATCTGTTGAAGTAAAATTAGAACAGACTGAAACACAAATTTATAGTGCGTTTACAGAGGGAATGGACCAAGTAGCCCTGCTTTCTCTACTTACTGAACAAATTTCAATTGTCATTTACAGTAAATCATTGATATTATTCTTTTAACTTTTTTGGGAAAATTATGTATTTTTCTCGTTTTCAAGATAACGTTTTGCGGCTTTGCGAAGTGCGTGACTTTGAAGCACTACACTTTCACTAAGCACAAATGTAATAAAGATGCACAAAACTGCAATAAACCTCTGCACCCTTTACTTCGCCAAACCGCAGTTGGCGGTATGTGGCATTCTTCTCTCATCTGTCCAACCATTGAAACCCGTTTACTGAAAAATTATTTTTCCCCTTTAATTCAATAAAAATTTCTGACCAATATGGAAAAGACCTAAAATCTGTTTTTTCAATTCTTATATTTTTGATGTTAAAAGCATATTTGTCTGGATAAACTGTAAAACCGTCTTCCTTCTCGTTTTGAAGAACAATTATTGTTTCATTGACAGATTGTTCAAATATAAAATCTTTTTCTTGTGGGCGGTTCATAATGATTATCACTTTCGGTCTTTCGTTTGTCTGGGCTGTGTCTATGTCGTTACCAAAAGTGAATAAAATAGAATTTTGTTTGTCTTCAAAAGATAAATTCGGATTTTCAAGAGAGATAATTTTTGAGTCTTCAACTCTAAAAAATCGTTGTCCCCAAAAATCTCCTTTTATTCCTAAGTCTATTATGTCTGAGGCTTCTTTTTCAGTCAATGACCATTTTGTTAATTCACTTATCTGTGGAACTTTGTCTGATGGTGTCCACGACAAACAAATAATGTCAAAGTTTTGTTGTTCTGTCCTTAGATTTTGAATTGAGCCATAAAAAACTGTTAGTATATAGACGACAATTCCTGCACCAACTATTCCCAATAAGTGTTTAAGATTAAATTTGTTTTCAGAATTTGTCAGCACATAAAAATTTCCAATTCCGATTGCAATTAGCCAAATACGAAAAATTGGAAAGCTAAAAGCACCAAGCCAAGGTCCGAAAATAAACCAGGCTGTGTAAATGAAAATTATTGTTTGGACAAACGTAAATGCTATTGTCAGGATAAATGCTACAAGTATGTGAACTCGTTTGAATATTTTCTCAATTAGGCCGTAGAGAAAAAAGGAAGCAACTGAAAATATTAACGTGAGAATTGAAAACCCCTGAATGTCGCCCCGTCCAAAGCCGTCATTTTTTATGACGTAAAAAACTGCAATTAACGTTGAAACTATCCAAATAATTGTTGGATAAACAAGTCTTATAGAAACATTTTTCAATTTACTCATTTCTCTTTTTGTGGGGACGTCCGCCATTACCGCTAAATTACTTATTTCTACAACAAATCTACGACACACTTGCGGTTTCCCCAAACATCTAAGCTGCCGGATTTAAAATCAACATCATCTAATAAATATCCTAAAAGTATCGTTTGCTGGAAATTTCAAAATTAAAAATAATAGACTATGACTTCATTCCTTAAAAAACAAATTTTATTTGTAATTACCCGTAAATAACGGATATAATTCCTTTGAAAAAAATCAAAACAATAAATACATCTTTTCTTTAAGATAACAATTACATTTTTTAGGAATAAATATCTTTCAGAAAAAGTTGTTTTCTAAAATTCGCTTAAACATCATTTGCACTTTATCTGTTAATAGTCCATGTCTTATAGCTTAACATCCCATTACAAACCAACAGGCGATCAGCCAAGGGCAATCGAACAACTCATAGCGGGCCTAAAGAAAAACGAACGTGCCCAAGTATTGCTTGGTGTAACAGGTTCAGGTAAGACTTTTACCATGGCCAATGTGATCGCTGAAATGGGAAGACCGACCTTGGTGTTGACCCATAATAAAACATTGACGGCACAGTTGTACGCAGAGTTGTGNAACGAGTCTTGGTTACTACACTGACAAAACGTATGGCTGAAGAACTTACCAAGTATCTGACAAAACTAAACATTAAAGTGCGCTACATCCACTCCGAGGTAGATACGATGGATAGGGTAGAGATCATCAGAGATTTGAGATTGGGAGAGTTTGATGTGTTAGTAGGTGTCAATTTATTGAGAGAAGGGTTGGATCTACCTGAAGTATCATTAGTAGCAGTATTGGATGCGGACAAAGAAGGTTTTTTGAGAAATAACAGGTCATTGACGCAGACAGCAGGTAGAGCTGCAAGAAATTCTAATGGATTGGTTATTTTTTATGCTGACAAAGTCACAGGTAGTATGCAGATGACTATGGATGAGACTAATAGAAGACGAGCCATTCAAATAGCTTATAATCAAGAACATAATATCTCTCCAACGACCATATTTAAGTCCAAAGAAGATATCATGGCCCAAAAATCAATCTTAGATATCAGGGGTAAAAAACCAGTTGCCTATATCGAGCCAGATGCAAGTGATAGCCTAGCAGCAGACCCTATCATTGCATACATGTCCAAAGATCAATTGTCAAAATTGATCTCAGACACAGAAGCCAAAATGAAAAAAGCAGCCAAGGATTTGGATTTCATCACTGCGGCCCAACTGAGAGATGAACTTCTGTCACTTAAGAAGAAATTGTAAGCTTATGATAACTAATAAATACTAATAGATAGTTGTTATAAAATTTAAGAGTTTAGTTTTAAATGATACTTTTGCAATTCATTTTAAAACTAAATAAATAATTTATGAACACTTTTTTACGAATTGTAACTATAAGTTGCGTGTTTGCTTTTTCTCAATCGGTTACAGCGAATGGTATTGATGACTTTTTTAAACCAAAAAAGAAGGCTTCATCGTCTTTGCCTGATAGGTATAGAAGCCTTGGTATAAAATTCGGACCGAGAACATTGAATACCGATCCAGGAACCATTGTTACTTCATTTTTGGATGAGTCTCCTGCCCCAGATTTCTTTTCTGCCAATACGGTTGTAGCTGATAGTTATAACAGTTTTGGTCTTCAGATTGACTACAGTTGGAGAAGGTATAGTGGCTTAAGCCATAGTTTATTTATCGACTTGTCATTAGGTGAAAATTTTGGTGGATTGTTCGAATATTCTATTGGATGGAGCATTCCTGTTGCTTTAGGAAGTAAATTTTTAATCGTCAGACCCAATATTGGTCTTGGATTTGGAAATTATGGGTTTGGCCTTGGGTCTATTGAAAATACCACTGGGTATATTCAAGTGGGTGAAAGTATTTTTGAAGAAGCAGAATTGCCTATTACTTTAAAAAGCCAAATATTGGTATTTTCTCCACAAGTTGACCTAAGATATACGTTATCACCAAATTTTCATATCACAGGTCAGATTTCGTACGACAGTGCTTCAGGTAATAGCAATCCAAAGCTAGTTTTCGAGGGTGAAGGAGGCACTGCTGAAAAAGAAATAGATACTGACAATCCTTCTGTTACTTTTAATGGAGAAAAAATAACTTCACTGCCATACAAGGCTGGTGGATTAAGACTTTCCATAGGTGCTGCATACACATGGAATATTGATTAAGCTTGCGTTTGTAGACTATCTTGGTACTTTGGGCTTCAAAATGAATAAATAATATTTCATTTTTTTCAGAAATAAATTTTTTTGTTGTACTTTGCATCAATTATTTAACAAATCAAAAAGGATCAAATATATGATGAACGAAAGTGTCCAATCGATAATGATAAAGGACTTAATCACATTAGGGCCAGAAAGTACCTTGGCACATGTCAAAGATATTTTTAAAACAAAACGTATCCACCACATTCCCATAGTAGATGAAGGCAAATTGGTAGGATTAGTAACCACCTATGATTTATGGATAAATAGTCCAAATCATGAAGACTATGACGGCATACAAGTAAAGGACATCATGTCAAAAAAACTTGTGAAGTTGGAAATAGACGATAAGGTAGGAACTGCTGCTGAATTGTTTCTAGACAATCGTTTTCACGCATTGCCTGTAGTGGACAATGGTATGTTGGTAGGATTGGTTACGACATTTGATGTACTAAGATACGAATTTAAAAAAGAATATCCTGAGCCTATCTTATACAAAGACGTATTGGACAAAGGTTTGGACGCGGCACATCAATAGTTGCCATTGCAATAAAAGGAATTATAAAGCCCTTATGGTCAAGCATCATAAGGGCTTTCTTTGTTTTGCAGCTATATGGTAATATTATTTATGATAGGATTGAGATAAATTACTCTTCTATATTTTATAGTAAGATCGCAAGAAACTTATTTTTAATTTTAAGGTGTTAAAAGTATAACTCGCTAGTTACCAACGTTCTAAACCCTAACCGTTTTGTTTCTTAGTAAATGATCTACCAAAACAAGTGCTGCCATGGCTTCTACGATAGGTACAGCCCTTGGCACAACGCATGGATCATGTCTACCTTTACCTTCGGCGATGGACTCATTGCCATTTATATCTACTGTTTGTTGGCCTGAGACAATGGTGGCTACAGGTTTAAACGCTACATTAAAATGAATGGGCATACCATTGCTGATACCGCCTTGGATACCACCTGAGTGATTTGTTTTTGTCTGGATTTTGCCATCTTTTTGTACGAAAGCATCATTATGTTCTGATCCACGCATGGCCACGCAAGCAAATCCTGAGCCATATTCAAATCCTTTGACAGCATTGATACCTAACATAGCTTTACCTAAATCAGCATGTAATTTGTCAAAAACTGGAGCACCTAGACCGATCGGACAACCTGTGATGATACAAGATACCTTTCCGCCTATTGTATCGCCTTCTTTTTTTACTTGCATGATGAGGTCGATCATTTTTTGTGCGGTTTCATCATCAGGGCATCTAACTATATTGTTTTCGATGTTATCTATTTGAATCTCTTTATTTTCGTCCATCATTATGTGACCTACTTGAGATACATAAGCAGTGATTTGCACACCTACTTGATTTAAGATCATTTTTGCGATGGCACCTGCCGCTACTCTTGCAGCCGTCTCTCGTGCTGAAGATCTACCACCACCAGCATGGTCTCTGATACCGTATTTTGCTTGATATGTATAGTCTGCGTGCGATGGCCTGAATACTT